AAGGGGCAGGGTCACTTGGATGACATCACTGGGTGGCCTTGTTCCTTAGATTTTTAAGAACTGTCAGGCCGGCGCAGCTGTCAGACAGCTGGAAGCCAGCGTCAAGAGAGAGGAGACTTTTTTGTTTTTCTTTTTCTGGGTCGGCGGGCATCGTGATTGATGTTGGATCTACTTCGGGGGGACATTTTTTAATTTTTGTTTTTAATAAAGGACTTGTCAAAGACTGTCTACTGTAATTTTTTACACTACCTTTTTTTTTTTTTTTTTCGTGAATGAGTAGCAGTACCAAGTGCCCCATACTCATTCACATGGGGGGGTGCACCCCCCCACAACCACCATCCAGTTTTGGGAAGAGGCCCTTGTCCCCATAAATATGGGGACAAGGTGTTTTTGGGGGAGCCCCCTTGCCTCAAAGCACCCCCCCAATGTTGAGACCCCCCAATGTTGAGAGCATGTGGCCTGGTATGCTTCAGGAGGCTTTCACTCGCCCCCCCTCTTTCCTGACCTGCTCAGCTGCATGCTCGGATAAGGGTCTGGTATAAATTTGGGGGGGGACCCCCAGATCATATTTTTTTTTTAAATCGTGGTGTGGGGGTTCCCCTCAAAATCCATACCAGACCTGAAGGGCTTGGTATGGATGGGGGGGTCTCACACCGTTTTTTTTTTTTTTTCTTTTTACATTCAGCTGTCAGTGGTATCTTAGTAGGTTTTCTTTATTAAATGCGGTGCGGTATCTTACTCAGATGCAGTAAGATACTGCTTAGTGAATTGCCCTGGTTCGAAGTTCAAGGTCAAACTTTCAACCGAGAACCGAACAGGGGGGTGTTCGGCCCATCACTAGTCTTTGTTAACAGTGTATGCATGTGAGGTCTTTGTGAACAGTATGTGCAAATACATGTGAGGTCTTTATGAACTGTATATGCGTATGCATGTGAGTCTTCATGAAGAGTATAAGCGTACGCATGTGAGGTACGCATGTGTTCATGAACTGTATATGCGTATGCATGTGAGGTCTTCATGAAGAGTATAAGCGTACGCATGTGAGGTCTTCATGAACTGTATATGCGTATGCATGTGAGGTCTTCATGAAGAGTATAAGCGTACGCATGTGAGGTCTTCATGAACTGTATATGCGTATGCATGTGAGGTCTTCATGAAGAGCATAAGCGTACGCATGTGAGGTCTTCATGAACTGTATATGCGTATGCATGTGAGGTCTTCATGAAGAGTATAAACGTACGCATGTGAGGTCTTCATGAACTGTAATATGCGTACGCATGTGAGGTCTTCATGATCTGTATATGCGTATGCATGTGAGGTCTTCATGAACAGTATGAATGTACGCATGTGAGGTTTTTTTTATAAACAGACCTTACATTTTTTACCCAAGATCCTTACTTTCAGCCTCAGCCAGCAAGATTCTGTGTATAAACATTAGCTAATTACATCCATGTGCAAGAAGGTTCATTTATGGCCAGGTTAAAGCAGATCTTCACTCTCTGCAGCATGACCCCTCCTTTCCACCCCTCCTCTGGTCTTGTGCATGGATAGTTGTCTTTTTTTTTTACCCCTTTTTTTTTTAAATTGTTCTGCCCCGTCTCCCCTTGCATGTCATTTGCCTAGTGAAATGATGGGCACAGTCCTCTATTTGCCTCCTGGGATATGCACATCACATATTCCAGGACGCAAATCCTTCCATTCAGTAAATATGGAGAGGATGGGTCTAGCAGGGCATCATCAAGCTGAACCCAGAACAGTCGGCAGCCTCCCGGTGATGTCACAGCAAAACATGGTGACTTAGGACCAAGCGGTGCCAGTAGAGAACAGGATCTTAGCTGGACAATGCTGGATCCACTGAGTGGGTGAGTATCTGAAATAGGATAAATACAACACCAGATAAGCAGGGGTTGTTAAGAAAATTGTGGGAAGATGGAAATTTGCTTTAAAGGATACTTTAAATAAGTTTGAGGTCAACTGACTCCCCTTCACCTCCTCATACCATGTATATCTCTCACCACCTGCTGCAAACTATGCTGGCGCTTCACTGAGCTGGCAGCCATAGCATACTGCACATGCACAGCTTCTCTTATAGATCCTAACAGAGGAGCTGCTTACAAGTAAGTCTGAAACTAGATGGCTTCTCCATTACAGTCTATAGAGAAATTTCTAAACATGCGCAGTACACTGTAGCCTGATGATAGCTCAGTGCTCTGTTCATTGTGAATCCTGGTACTGGTAAACTAGAGACTCCAGACTACAGAATGTAAGCTTTACTGTAATTGAATTTGGCTCTCTGTGATTTCCTTAGTCCTTCCATACGTTTAATATATGAAAGTGGTGCGTCTTCTGTTACAGACTTTAAATACACATAATGACTTAAAAGATACACTTTAAATAGGTCTGCCAGTTTTGCTCAGGAAAGGAATTTCTTGGGGTTTTTTAAAATTTTTTGGGCAGTTTTTGATGAATTATGTTTTATACAAGCTCTTGTATTGTTTACTACCAGGCACATAACAGGACCAACTCTTCCAGCTATACTTTTTTTTTTTTTAGCAGTCATTGCTGCATTTTATGTTATACAAGCCTTTATACTGTTTACTGTCAGGCACATATAAGGATTAACTCAGTTCATCTTTTTTTTTTTAGCAGTTATTGACACCTTTTTTTTTTTTACAAGCTCTTGTATTGCTTACTATCAGGCACAGAGGATCAACTCTTCCAGCTCACCTTTTTTTAACAGTTATTGCAGCACTCAGTTTTATAGTTTTATATAAGCCCTTATATTGTTAACTGTCAGGCACATATAAGGATCATCTCATTTCACCTTTTTATTTTGTAACAGTTATTGATGCATTTTATTTTTTACAAGCTCTTATATTGTTTATTATCAGGCACATAAGTGGCCCAACTCTTGCCCAGTTCAACTTTTTTTTGCAGTTCTTGCCATATTTTATTGTATACAAGCTGTTCTATTGTTTACCATCAAGCACACATAAGTGGACCAACTCTTACAGCTCAACATATGTTTTAGCAGTTATTGCTGCATTTTATTTTATACAAGCCTTTATATTGTTATTTAGCAGTTATTGCTGCATTTTATTTTATACAAGCCTTTATATTGTTTACTGTCAGGAACATACAGTACGAGGACCAACTCAGTTCAACTTTTTTTTTAGCAGTTACTGATGCATTATATTTTACACATATTCTTATATTGTTTACTTTCAGGCACATAATAAGACCAGTTCTTCTCCAGTTCAACTTTTTTTTAGCAGTTATTGCTGCATTTTTTATTTGATACAAGCCCTTATATTGCTTACTGTCAGGCACATTTAAGGATCAACTCAGTTCAACTTTTTTTTTTAGCAGTTATTGACGCATTTTATTTTATACAAACTCTTGTACTGCTTACCATCAGGCACATAAGGGGACCGACTCTTTCAGCTCACCTTTTTAGCAGTTATTGCTGCGTTTATTTTTCTATAAGCCCTTATAATGTTAACTGTCAGACACATATAAGGATCAACTTAGTTCAAGGTTTTTGTTTTTTGTAACAGTTATTGACTCATTTGGTTCTATGCAAGCTCTTGTATTGTTTACCATCAGGCACGTAAGAGGATCAACTCTTCCATGTCACCTTTTTAGCAGTTATTGCTGCGTTTAGTTTTATATGAGCCCTTATATTGTTAACTGTCAGGCACATATAAGGATCAACTCAGTTCAACTTTTTTTATTTTGATTTTTTTTTAAACATTATTGACGCATTTTATTTTATTCAAGCTCTTTATTGTTTACTATCAGGCACATAAGAGGACTAACTCTTGCCCAGTTCAACTTTTTTTTTAGCAGTTATTGCCACATTTTATTTTATATAAGCTCTTGTATTGTTTACCATCAGGCACATAAGAGCACCAACTCTTACAGCTCAGCATTGTTTTTTTTTAGCAGTTATTGCTGCATTTTATTTTATGCAAGCCTTTATATTGTTTACTGTCAACAACATAAGAGGACCAATTCAATTCAACTTTTTTTTATTAGCAGTTACTTATTCATTTTATTTTTACATGCTCTTATATTGTTCACTTTCAGGCACATAAGAAGACCAGCTCTTCTCCATTTCAACTTTTTTTTAGCAGTTATTGCTGCATTTTATTTTAAATAAGCACTTATATTGTTTACTGTCAGGCACATAAGAGGACTAACTCAGTTCAATGTATTTTTAACCGTTATTGCTGCATTTTATTTTATTTATTTATTTCAGGTACTTCTATAGCGCCGTCAATTTACGCAGCGCTTTACATACATATATTGTACATTCACATCAGTCCCTAACCCTCAAGGAGTGTACAATCTAAAATCCTTAACTCACATTCAGACATACACATATTAGGGCCAATTTAGACAGGATACAGTTAACCTACCAGCATGTCTTTGGGAGAGTGGGAGGAAACTGGAGTACCCGGAGGAAACCCACGCACTCACAGGGAGAACATGCAAACTCCAGGAAGGTGGTGCCTTGGTTGGGTTTTGAACCAGCGACCCTAGTACTGCCAGGTGGAAGTGCTAACCATTTAGCCACTGTGCTGCCCATGCATTTTATTTTATATAACCTCTTATACTGTTTACTGTCAGGCACATAAGAGGACCAACTTTTTTCCAGTTCATCTTTTTACTCTTTTTTTAAAATATTTTATTAATGCAAATTGGTTACAAGAAAGCTCAGCTACTGTATTAAAATTACTTTATAGATTATGTCAGTGTATCTATAGGGCAATATACTGTATGTCACACTGCAACCATATAAAACATTAAGTCATACTTAAGGACCTTCTGATTATTTTTCTTTTGCTAAGCAATATGCTGTATTACAAGACCCATTAGTGGTACTAGAGTAAAAGCTTTCTGCCAGCTTTTCTTTTGCAGAAAAAGAGTACGCTTTATCCAAACAGCACTGAACCATATGTTTTCATAAAGACTAAGCCAAAATGCAGCAGACTCACAGGAAAAGGTTTTCCATGACATAATTGTAGTCAGCATGACCGCTGTCCGGCAGGAAACAAGCAGCAAAAACACAATGATGGCATTTACACCCTCTCCGTAGTAACCTGCCAGGAAAACACAACTTCATTATAAAACATTAAAATAAACAGGACTAACATACAATCTAAAATGGAACTTAAAAGCAAACAATATTACGTTTAAATATAATTAATTATAAAGGGTTGCTTAATAGTGCAGTGCAATGCAATAAAATATACGCATCTGTTCTTTTATTAACCCATTATGAGGGTTGTAAACATTTAATACTATGAAATATAATGACACAGTACCATCTTTGTTAGGCTCACCACACAAATAGAATTAATCTTTCATCAGTTTTAAGTGTGCTGACTACTAGAAATGTATTTTTGTTTTGTTGTTAGTCATTCATGTTGAGTTTTCCAAGCGTCAGTGTCAGTGAGACTGATTTACTAAAAGAGTTGAAAATATTCACTCATTAAATTGAGCAAAGTTTTGCTTTAATTAGCCAATCAAGTGAAGATTCTCAACTTCTTTAATAAATCAGCCTGACTGAGATGCATACACGCAAAATGATGTTCTGTTTATTTTTAAATGATTTTAGTGGAAGATTGACTAAAGAATCAATGGTAGAACAAAGAGAAGGGAGAGAGATTTTGGGCAGGATGAATAGAAAACATAACCAAAGTTGAAGCACAAGACATGGATAGGAATATATGAGTAGTTGAATTTGCTTTTGTGCATTCAGCAGAATGTTATGTAGAGCAGAAGAGGAAAAAAGAAGGAAAGGATAGGATACAGAGTTAAATAAGGGCAGAAGAAGAATGACAGAAATCATGGAAAGAAAAAGAAAACAAAAGAAGGAGGGTTGAATAAATGGTTCATCCACCTTCAGGGGGAAGGTTCAGGTGTCTGCAGATAGTCAAAAGATATTAGTAGTGTTTCTAGATGAAGCCTGTACTGTGAGAACTAAAAGGGAGAACATTGCAACCTACTGAATATACAGTATACCTCAGTACATGTTTCTTTTACAGAATAAACAAGGCAACAAGTGAGTACAATCCAACAATACTGCATCTGTGCCAAAAACAGACACGCCACCTAATTTACTTTGCTCTGGGTCACGGCCATTGTAGCCAGATTACAATTCAGGTTTAATGTTGGATTCTCTACTCATTCTTTAATCTTTGAGACAATGAACTAGTCAATCAACCCCCCCAAAACCTCTTCTTTTATTTTTAAATAGAAAATGTTAGCAACACCAACAGTAAGACCAGGCTTTTCATTGCAGAAGAGACAGTGCATGTTTTTACAGTGAGACTTCAGTTGTGCATTAAGGTCTCATTCACATATAGCGTACTAAATTGAACGCTCATGGATGGCCGTGTTTACCCGCACGGCTATGCAAAGGTGTTCCAAAACTGTGAAATACGGCAGCAATGATATAAGTGCACAGTGTGCATTCGGGGGCCTCACACCCACATGGATGTCAATTGGCATGGATGCCAGTTAACATCAATGGGACTGCCTGCACAGGGATGCACAGAGTACCTGTGCATTTCCATACAGATAAGCACAGCCCTCCATGGGCCCCCCTGTAAATGAGACCTGAAGCTGAATTTCGAGGAATGGATTTAATAGCAAAATTACATTGGTCCAGCTTGGATCAATGTAGATATGCATATGCCATACCTGGTGGAATGCTGTGGAGTCTCTGCTACTACAGAAATCACTGCTGTCCTCTGGGTTCTTTGACGAATGGCTGCCCTGCTGCATACTGGACACTTGCTTGGTACAGAGACCATACACAGAACTCCTTGCATTTTTCTCAATGAAGGCAATCTCTGATTGGAAGAGGTGGAGATTATGACATCATTACCTTGCCTCTCCACTTTGTCCAAGCAGAGAAAGTTATACATTTATTAAGAAAAATGCAAAAACATTTTGTGAATGGCCCCTTTGCTAAGCGAGTGAACTCCTGTGTTCATTATGCACAGAACCTAGAAGACAGCAGGGGTCACTGTAGTAGCAGTGACTACTACAGTAATTTCCAATTTCCACAGGGGTCCCACAGGTATGGCATATGCATACCTTTATTGGTCCAAGCTAGACCAATGTAACTAGGCTATAAAATCCATTTCTGGAATTCAACTTTAAAATGTACTTTTGTCCAGACTTTGGAGGATAAATATTCACATATTCTTAAAGCATTCAAAAAGTAGTAGAAAAGCTTTAAAAAAAAAAAACCTAATTCACCCCTCTAGCTGCTTGTACTGTGAAGTGAATCATTCTCAAAGATCCTCCAAGATTTAGCAAGGACTTTTAAGTTGGGATTCAGTCAGTTTCTAACAGCATAGAAACAGGCACTGTGTGTTTACCACTAGAATACTGGCAGGTTGCCATACGAGATCTGCTCTCATAGAAAATAGCTGTGATTTCTGTTGTTTATGTGATAGAAACAATTGAGTACTATCCGTGACACTTTTTTTATTTGCACTAACATACAATTTTGAGGACAAGCTTTCAGGGAGTGTCCCCTTCTTCAAGGTCCAAGCAGTACTATACAAATCACAAAGTTTCAGCAGAATGTTAGAAGAGATGAAGAAAAAAAAAGAGGCTAGAGATATGTGATGAATTTGAAGATTAATTTCTTCACAATACCTAGAGCTAAAAAGGTGAACGTGGGCTTTGAATGTGAATGTGTTTCTTAATGTACTTTTTTGACAATATGTAAATACTTTAGTGTGTACATTCTGGGCATAGGTTCATTTTAACCCCTTCACGCCTAAGGGTAAAACAAATCTAAATGCCTAAGCACAATTCTGCAATGTTGACATGTGTTAGTAAAACCGTACATATATCTCACAACTACTTTGTACATCCAGGTGGATTATACCGCGTTTTTTTCAGGACAAATTGGGCTTTCATTTGGTGGTAAATGGTAATGGATAGCTCCTAATTTTTTTTATCAAAGGAAAACTGGCCCAAAATAGTAAAAAAAAATTGTTGTTTTTTATTTAGCTGTGTGTTTCTTGTTATGACCATAACCTACCTCCATAGAACAACCCAAAATAAATTCTACAGCTCTTGACGATCGTAGTGATATGTGTATGTTATTTGTTGTTTGTACCCGTAATACAGCCCAGAAACAATAGTGCGCATTTTTTTTTGTCTTTTTTTTTTTCTACCTAAAACACACTGACACTGACATTAACGCTAACTGACACTGATACAAATTTGTTTTTAAATCCTGACCTTTGACCCTGACTTTGACCCAAACACTAACCCTGGTACTGAACTAGATCAAAACCTTGATCTAGGTATTTTTCTTTATTTTTTAATATTTATTTATTTATCTTTTTTTTTTTTTTTTTTTTTACAAAGTTTTTTTTTATCTCTCTTTGTCAGGAGTTAGAGAGATACAATGTATCTCTCTTCCCTTCATAGAGAGAGAAAAAACAAGGGGGCCGGGCTGCACAGTGACTGATTACTGTGATAGCCAATCAGAGGCTATCACAGTGATCACGTGACCTGGAATCGGGCGTCCTGAGTCCCGATCGTTAGAACGGGACCCGGGGCTCTCAGTGACACCGTGGTCTCTGTGCTGGGAGCGCGCCGAGTGGCGCGCTCCCAGCACAAAGACAGGTACGCAAATATGTGGCCCCACGGAAAAAAGCCCAGTTCCGTGAGGCCGCATATTTGTGTGCCGTCGGCGTCAAGGGGTTAAATCACTGCTCTCTCCATGCAGGAATGTTTCCTTTGTTTTGTGTTCCACTTATCATGCTTTTATACCATTGCTGTTGTATTTCATCATTTGTTGCTGTTCAGGTATTTACTGACATCTTTCGGTAGTATGGTGCTGCTACAACTTGTTTATCTTCTGCATTTGGTACGACCCTCTGTTCTCTACCCCTGTTTAGGGTTTGTTAGTTTAGTGACCCTTTTTAATCTTGACTTTTCATGACACAGGCTTAGGAAAGTCACTGTCATTTACAGTCCAAAAGAAATTTATTCTCTGTACTACACTTATGTGAATTAAAATTGTGTTGGATTCAACTTCTGTATCTTGTTGAAGTGTTAAACTGCCTGAGGATGGTGCCAAGTCAACAAGTGGTTATTTTGTCTGCACAAACTAGGTCTAGGAGGCTAAAAATGACTATTTTAGTCTTTATTTTTATGCCTATAATGGGAATGATTGTAAAAATCGTGCATCCTTGTTCTATGTTTTCATGAAGATGAGGAGGAAGGAAGGAGGATGTAGTGTAGACAGGTACAGAACAAACAGCAATACCCATATGTCTGCTGTGTCTATTATTTACAGGTCAAAATGTCATCAATGTGTCATAAATCAGGAGCAGCATTTAAAAGAAAAATGAAAACTACATTATTTGTATAAATGTGTTCCTAAAATCGAGCAAAATATCTGTTTAATCTGCTTCACTCCTAACATAGTTTCCTGTAGTCTGAAGCAACGTATGTCAATGACATGTATTATTTTACACACAACAATTCACATTTGTCTATGCTACACAATGTACTTTGATATGGAAGGAGAGACTATGGAGTTACACAAAGGAACCTATTTATGTGTATGTAGGTTGCGAAAATATTTCTCTTTAGTTCAGAAACCGTGAGACTATAAGTTTCAGTTGCCATAAAGCGGTATTAATTCCAACCCCCCATGCCCCCCCCCCCCACCGATAAAAGTATTAGATACTGCAGTTTACGAATACTTAAAGTGGTTGTAAAGGTAAAAGTTTTTTTTTACCTTAAGCACTTGCTCTCCTGAGGAATTACCCCCCTTTCTGACCAGGCCATTTTTTGTGATATGGCGCTGTGTTACGTTAACTGAAAATTAAGCGGTCATGCAACTCTGCACCAAAATGAAACTTATGTCCTTTTTTCCCCACAAACAGAGCTTTCTTTTGGTGGTATTTGATCACCTGTGCATGTTCTATTTTTTGCGCTATAAACAAAAAAAGATCGAAAAATTTTGAA